GGTATGTAGAAATGGGGATAATATGGCTTTTTATATTATTATGAACAAAAGGATAATATTATTTTTGATGTTATGAACAAGGATAATATTGTTCAATGTATTACTTATAATAAGAAAAATAGTGTTCAATGTAATGAACGGAACAGGAATAATATTTTTTCCCGTAATATCACAATCTTGAAACAGGAACAATATTTTTTATCTACGATGTTAGAAATTGGGAAAATGTTGATCAGTGACATGTCACAAATGCTGCACGAGGCACTGATAAAAACACATATACAAACTGATAACTAAAGGGAGAAAGAGAGAGAGAGAGAGGTAAACAAATAAACAAATAAGAGGTAAACAAATAAGTTTATCAATATACTGAAGGCATAATGAAGTGATACTCTGCCCATCCTGTGGTAAATTACATTTTAGCATAGATTGACGAGTCTCAATCTGTTGTTGTTTTCCTAGTTAATGGTCAGTTTCCTAGTTTTCCTAGTTAACTCGAGCCACGAGATCTTAATTGCTAGCAGTAACCCGTACTCCTGAATTGTTTAGGCAGCGGCTGTTGCATTCCTAGTAACTGTGCTCTCTGCTAGCTAATGTTCTTTGCTAATCAAACATTCTGCCAGTTTTAGTATGATTAGTTTTACAATCCATACTCATTCTGTGTGAGGTAATGGACAAGGTAACAAAATCATACAAAACTTTCAGGAATTGAACCCCAGAATACAGCTAGGTAAGCAAGCTACAGTCGTGATAAGTTAATTACGTGGTTTGTAATGTAATTGTAAATATGTTACAAATAATTTTTTTTCTAATTTGTATTGTTAACGATTACGTTATAAGCTTGAAAACTATAATTAGCACATAATTCTGCCCACAGGTGGTTATATATATCGTTAATGAAGCTATACACTCCATTAGGTCTATTAATATATTACTTACATGGAAGCCATAGAGAGAGAGAGAGAGAGAGAGAGAGAGAGAGACAGACAGACAGACAGACAGACAGACAGACAGACAGACAGACAGACAGACAGACAGACAGATAGACAGACAGACAGAAAACTAAAACATACATATTATTTAACATAGTTTCCATTAATCACATTCGTTTCTTTTAACGATTTAGAAAATGCTATCACCCCTATCACGTGTATTACTACTCGCTATCATGTCCCAAGATATCAATAATCAAAATGTGTAATTCAACTAAATACGCGGTTAATAAGGCGTCTAATTGCTTTATAGTTGTTATCCGGAGTGATAACTCGCCACATAAATCATCTCCTCCACTCAGGCTGCTTAGCTGATGATAAACATGTTCCGACGTAGAAAATCCTCGCCGCTCGTAAATAATAATTTACTTCTTAGTTTTCTAAAACTTGTTATGTGTATTATCCATAACTCATGTTTTTTCAAAGTGGAATCATTTGTCATTTTGTAATTTATCTTCTACATTACATTTATTCCTATGAGATATATTTATTTTTGTTAGTAGCAGTAGTAGGGAATTTTTAGATGTATTAAAATTTTTCAGAAGCTTGGAAGTGGCGTGAAAAGTAAGAAAGTTATATGTTAATGTATTGTCAACAGGTCTTTAAAAAATTAAAAATAATAATAATAATAATAATAATAATAATAATAATAATAATAATAATAATATTTACAATAACAACAACAGTAGCAATACCAATAATAAAAAGGTTAATAATTTGATTTTGTTTGAAGACACAGGAATTACTTTGAAGTTTGCCACGTATAACAGGACATTTACTAAAGAGTTTTATAGCTTTAGCAGTGTGGGCTCATTTAAGGGCATTGGATACTATTGTCTGTTATTAGCCTACTCTAACAAGTTTTTTTTTTTTTAGTTGTTGAATTTCCAGTATTGTTTGGTCGCCAGTTTGTTGAAAAAAATCGTCCTAGATTTATACGGATTAAGGTTAATCATATTACTACTAATGTTGATACAAATAATAATAATAATATGTTAATTATACAAATAAAGCAAAGAAAAAAACTCGAACAATTTTCATTATGATTTTTGTGATATCATCAATTATCAGCACTCATTATCATCATCATCTTAGATCATCAATAATCATGATCTGTTCATCATAATAATTGCAATTTGAGTCAACACACGCCAGAATACTTACAAATATGCAAGAACACACAAGCCATGGTGAGAGCTTTAGGCAGCATTCCTGATATTTAAAATTGTAACATATCAAATCCCCAAGAAAACCATTTTAAACATTTTATTAATTTGATCACAATCAACAAAAATTGACTGACTCTGTTTTAGCATTATCGAGCCCAACGTAAACCATGTATAGATCTTGAGGCTCCGTTTATGCTGGTGTTGTGGAAGTATTGTAAAAGTTGAGTGGAGGAAGTACTATAAAAGTAGAAGTAGAAATACTAAGAAAGTAGGTGGGTCACACTAATAATAATAATACCGATAGTAACTTAAAGTTTGAACAATACATGTTGTAAATCCAAGTAAAGGTAGCGATCACGATATCAATGACAAGTACGATAATAGCTGAAGAACAATGATCACATGTCTGTTACATATATGTCATATATGATCTATGTCACTGTTGTACCCCCCCTTTAAACCCTCCCTCTGCCCCACACCCTCACACCTCCAGTCAAGAAAAACAAAGAGGGGCAGGAGGTATATGGAATAACCTCAAACAAGAAAGTGTTTCTTCTGCAAAGACTATTATATATAGAAACTATAAAGGAAAAATAAGAAATAGTGTTTATTTACTAGAAGACGGTATAAACACTATCCCTCATGTCCACCATTACTAGCCTTGGTCGCTATTAACCACAGTGTTACTGGACTCGCTAGTCACCCCTCTCCCTAGAAAGATACTTTATTAAACTGTAAATTCTCCTAATAACTAATTTTAAGTAAAGATTGGTTTACTAATATTCTTCTATGTCATGCTTTGATAATAATAATAATAATAATAATAATAATAATAATAATAATAATAATAGTCGAATTATCAGTGTGAATAATAATTACTATATATGAGGTCTAATCTGATGCAAATGTGGATTACACAATAACTCATATTTAACTAAATAAATATAAAGATAGTAGAGGTATTTCCCTGATATATCAACACAGCTTACTCTCGACAAGTGTGCGCTGCATTCAGGATTAAACCAGTGTACCGTCCTGACAGATGTTCATTATGAACAAATGGATTTGGTGACAGGTGTTCATTATGGCTATTAGTACACGAGGAATGTGGTGACAGGTGTTCATCATGAACATTAGTGTAAAGTGGTCGTCGAGACAGATGTTCATCATTAACAGTAACACAAAGGGGGGGAGAGGAGATGCTCAGCAATACAAGGGGATGGGGGCGCAGGCAGGTGCATTACAGCCCACACCGTCACTGTATTATTACTAGTGAAAGCAACATGTAGTTTCCCGACGCCTCAGTAAACAAAAACGGGGTGAGAATAGCTTCAGCTACCTCATCCTTTTGTGTGCATTTTACCTCAATAAACTTATTTCAATTTCAATTCAGTAAACAAACGCGGCATTAGTGGGCTTATCTAGTAGTGAAGATCTAGGTACATACCATGTGAATAATTCCTTATATATTTTTTACAATATTAGGAATATTTGTCATTGTTTGCGAGCCACTGGAGTAAATATGTGTTGCACTATATAACCCGTTTTATTTACTTGCATTAAGCATTACTTGCATGTTGAGAAATGGTTATGAAACATTGGTGCATGAGGACGTGTCATTATGTGGTCATTACCCAAATGCATAATTATACAGGCGCAACATTTATTGGTACAAGACTCAACAATTCGTTCTAAAAAGCGTCAAGAGCCATTAAGTTAAATATGCGCCATTAACAAATTGCATCCAGCTTCAGTACAGCCGTAAACCCTGTAATGACTATAATGGCAGCCTCAAAATGCCGGGTTCCAGTCATGTCAATTGATAAATCCTATTTGGGAGGCAGTGATCTTCCTCTCGCTGTCCGCGACACACCTCGCGGCTCCTGTTCGCCCTCACGTGTCAATTCGCGCTTCTCCTCTCGCTCTCTAAACCTTGCGGCCAAGGAGCCAATTTAGTAAAAAAACGCGTGACCGTAATAGTTTTGAAGCCTTTTGAAGCCACATTACATCCCCCTTGGTCAATTATTCCCTTGTTAGCGAACATACACGGCAAATTGGAGTATAATGAGAATCGTTTGTGTAATTCCGCACAGCTGTAATTATGTTTCCTAGGTCCCCCTACGAGGGAGGCAAGGGTAGGCGACGGGTAATGGGTAAGGGGGGAAGGGGTAGGTGGGACAGGGGATGGGGTGGGTGGGAGGTAGTTGGGTAATTGGTGACCGGAGTCCTCACGCCCACCGCTGCGAAGGACCACTCGTTATGGGCGTGTCCGCTAAAATGTGGGCGTAGCGCAGCTGATGACCTTATATGACGGTGTATTTAAGGTCTAAATCAGCTCCTGGAGAATGGTCAGCCGTTCCCATACCCCATCCTGGTCAATACCCAGGTGATATCCCGGGGTAATATCCTGCCCATATACAGGGCAGGCGATATTACGCATGCCCAGCGATAACTCTAGCAATATTACGTCTGCCCAGCGATAACTCTAGCGATATTACGGACATTATTCTGGAAATAGGGTTGGTAATGCTCTGGAGATTTGCCGGTTAATAACTCTAGAAGTATGTTGGGAGAGTATTTTGATGATATACCGAATAATACTCTGGAGAGATATACCGAATAATACTTTGGAGAGATATACCGGATAATACTTTGGATATACCAAGGTTGGTGTTATACAGCATCTTGAAACGCATTGGAGTATTTATTTAGGAAAACCGGAAACCCTCCCCGATCAGTGCTAGGTCTTGAAGGAATGTTTAGGAATGTAGAAATATGCTTGTGTGGTAATATGTTTATTATAGACTAAAGGACAAGAGCGAGACATATATATACATACACGTACCGGCCATATTGTTGCCATAGGCGCAGTGCATCGCTTGGGCCATACTATTGTAGTAATCTTGGTGGAGGCCGGAGTGGCCCCCTTCAGAGCCGTCGTACCAGCGGTTCATGTACCCCCCAGCGGAGGCCTGGCCCGCCTGGTCCATCTCACTCATATCCATCGTGTCTCACTCCTTGGGTTCTACGGTACACTTGAGAGGAACGGTACAGTCCAGGTGGTACGAGCTAAGGTACGAGGCGGCTGGCGAGTGGTCTGTGGGAGTGACGGTCGGCCCAACGACCCTGTCCGCCGTGCGGGACTCCTCATGTGGGATTATTGTCAGAGAGAGCTACAGGCGTCACCCATCCTCTCTGACTACATTGCGGTGATTAGGTTAATACTGACAGTCTCTACCTATCCTCGTTTGCTTCTCAGCTTAATCACCCAATCAGCGGGGCGCTCTAGGGGGGACAGCGGGGGAATCGTTGCTTTCCTAATCGTCACTGCGGGCTTAACGGGGGGTGAGTTAACCGGGCACAGCCTCAGCACAACTGGCGACCGGTCCTAATAGAACACCACTAAGACTCAAGTCTCCAGCCTGGCCGAGCATCGCACACACTCACACAACATTTGCGATGTAATCACTTCCTCGTAGGCGGAGCCTCGGGAGGCCTCGCCCGCATTTCCCACCTCCAGCCAATCGTCGATGAGAATCACACGCGGCTCCGCCTCCGACGTCGAAAGACGTCACACGCGGCCGGTGCTGCCCCCGCTTCTCAGTCACGCACCCGCTACCCGGCCGGCAGCACCTGGGTGCACCACACTCTCACACACTCTCTCTCTCACACACACACACACTCTCTCTCTCTCTCTGGGGGTACCTTTCTGGGTGCTCATGACCCATACACATCGTTCTGTTAACTCCCAGAATGCTAGTTTCACATTTTAAGGAAATTAACATTATGGATGGTACATGTGTCCGAATAATTTTGATCAGTTTTGGCTTGCATGCATGTGTGTGTGTGTGTGTGTGTGTGTGTGTGTGTGTGTGTGTGTGTGTGTGTGTGTGTGTGTGTGTGTGTGTGTGTACATTTGAAGACATTCACATCAGTGTATATCAAGTCTCCCCAAATTTGTAAAAGTCAATGGATCCTGCAATATTGCAGGATTAATGATGTTGCTCTTGCAATGCTCAATCAATATTCTTTGCGAATACTGCTTGCCTGTTCTCCGTTTCACGTCACTATATGTCTCAGGCAATGAAATAATATTTATAAAAAATTAACCATTAATAATTCTTAATAATTAGCCTCTTATTTGATGTGTTGTAATTGCCTAGCATTGGTGTGTACTGTGTGCATTGTTCAGGTTGGTATGCTTTCGTCAGCATTACAATGATAAGTTGGATTGTAATCTTTTTGATGATACATTCATTCATGTCATGATGTATTAATGTATACTTTGATATTCGAAAGAGTGGAATGAATGGTGTCATACACATTGGTATATTCATACATACACAGCAGAGTGCATGCTCAAATGTATATACAAAACAGTTGGTACACACGTGGACAGTAATACATCCACGCCAGTACACATACAGCAGAACAAATATAGGTATACATGGAGTATTACACAAAATGAAAAGAACACATAGAGGTGTACAGGAAAATGATTTATACTGGTATATTGGAATACGCGCACGCACGCACACACACGAGCCACGAGCGTAGCTCTCATCCTGTAACTACACTTAGGTAAATAAATTACAGGCGCACGCACGCACGCACGCACACACACACACACACACACACACACACACACACACACACACACACACACACACACACACACACACACACACGAGCACACACACACACACAAGGGTGAGCGTGTGTGTACTCACCTAGTTGTACTCACACAACTAGGTGAGTACACACACGCTCAGTAGATGCATATGCTCACACACACACATGCACACACACACACACATTCACACACAGTAGGAGAGTACTCACCCACAAAAACACACCCAAATGTGTGTGTGTGTGTGTGTGTGTGTGTGTGTGTGTGTGTGTGTGTGTGTGTGTGTGTGTGTGTTGACCTGTAGGAATCGATCCTGTCTCTTAGTCTTGGAAGACTTCATCTGTGGAAAGACAGACTGGGAGAACAGAAGAACAGCGTGGGGACACATAAAACAATTGAGAGCTAAACTAGTGTATATGAGAAAAGTACTATTTTAAAGCCAATATATCAGGGAACTAACAAGAATGAGAGGTAAGGAGAAACTAGACGTGTCCATTTTTCCTCGATTCACTTAGAGACGTGAAGGTCAGAACAATTGGCATTATTAACTAATTTGGTCCTCTTGATATCATTTCGGAAGGAATTTAACAGGCAATGTCTAAGCTAGTATGGAACTATAGGAACTTCAAAATGCTGACCTTATTAATCGTAATTGTAAATAGGGAAAATATTGAAATCTTGGGTGTTCATCCTTACATTTATTACAATCTCCTACCTGGCCTTATGTCCACACGCACACTTGCTCAAATAATTCACAAATGAATGATATAATTTCGTCTGGAAGGAATCACCCATCCGGTAAACTCAGTCAACTTTTTTCGTTTAGGAACTCGTTTTCATCTGGCTACTCCTACTTTTCCAGAAATATATAAACTTAATTGTTAAGAATTACAATTTACGAATGAGTGATTATAAATTGTGGTGTAGCAGGACTACAGGATAGATATCAGAACTCGTCAGCACGGAGACCCTCAGCTGGATATTTGGAATTATGACGGAAGTACTATCCACAGATTGGTTGGTCGATCTCGAACCCATTGTTGATGTGACGACTTATATTGAATTTTGTAACTAGCTCAACAAGATTGTAACTTGCTTAGCTAAATGAACTGTGGGGTTCAGTCCCTGAGCCCATTATGTGCCTCTGTAACCCTTTCCACTACCGCCCACAAGATGGGTATGGGGAGCATAATAAATTAACTAAACTAACAGATAGGTTACTCGCAGGCATTTTGAGTCCAATTGAACTCAGACTGGTGCTATATGAACTGTTTTGAATGATTTTGTGCTGGGATAGTCCCAGTATATGTTGTCATTGATGTGGTATTCACTCTGAACTAGTTATAGACATAAGGAAAATCAGTTTGGAGGCTTCCATGAGAATGAGTGATCACAGTATATTGACGTTTGAATATCTGGGGGAAAGTCGGGAAAACTTATTGCAGGAAGGGACCAGGAAACAAAATGCCTGTATTCCGAAAATAACATTACGAGGAAGTAAGATAATTCCGAATAGAAATAACGTGGTTGATTAACAGAACTCTGGAAAGGCTGTTCAGGACATAATGGGCTACATTTCCAAAAAAATTCAGAAGGCACTACGCAAGTTTGTCCCGGTACAAACAACCTATGGTTTAATCTAGGATGTAAAGAGATAATGGAACTGAGTACATGGGCATAGAGAAACTACAGGAATAACAGAGCACCAAAGAGTAGAGGAAGATACCAGAGGGTTAGGAATGAGTACCTCAGTATGAGAAGAGAACAGGGAGACAGTATGAAAAAGGCATAGCAAATAAAGCAAAGACCCAGTGCAAACTGCTTTATAGTCACAGTGATGGAACAGCTAATGAAACTGAGAAAAGGGGGCAGACAAGTTCAATGAAAATGATAAAGAGGTGTTGCGAGAAAGTCTTTGACACAGTACCCCATAAGAGACTAGGGAAACAAAATGCAGAATAAGAGAAACAGGGAAGGTTTAAATATTTGGCAGTAGTCGGTACCTCATGTATTAAGAAACGTTTACCAGACTGTGCGACACAGTAATTACCAGGATCAGGTTGGGCTACCGTTACCTGTGGCAGGTGGCTACAGGTAACGGATCTCCCAATCCTGAGCACTCCAGGAGATATCTCTGTGAGCAGGAACTGGGTATCATCTCGCACACTACATTATTGAATGCCCAGTTATTAAACTCTTCAGACCGTAAGGCCTGAGTTACCAGGAGCGTATCTAATCACATTATTAACTCTCGTGTTTTTAATGATATCCTCATAATGTACCCACAGTTAGCCAGTGCAGACTACTGTTCACATGCCTTTGTATCAATAACCATGCTGTGGGAAGGGGATTTTTTAGCATCATGAAGCTAGTTCTTGACACACTCCGGACTCCTCTTCATATAGTCTTCGGTGGCTGCACAAGTGCAGATATTCCTAAATGTTTTAATAAAAAATATTTAATACCCATGGAAAAATTTCATTGCTCCGTAATATTATTTTTTTATGAGGGGGCAAGAGGGGGTGGAGGTGGAGGTGGGGGGGGGGAAGGGAGGGAATTATCACGAGAAAGCGCTAAGCCATTTCGACTATATAGCCCTTGGAAGGGGTCTGGATAAGGATTTAGGATGAGACAGGGGTAAGGAATGGTGCCCGACGACTTGGACTGTTGGGGGATTGAACGCCGACCTGCATGAAGCGAAACCGTCGATCTGCCGTCGATCCCAGGTGATTGGGCAGAGGAAGAGGAGCACTTGGAAGAAGGTTGGGGGAGGGCGAGGGGGGGATGGGGGTAAAATGGGCATGATAAAGGGCGAAGAAGGGGTACCCGGGCACCGCCGGGAACCTCTCCTAGCATTATATATTTTGATGCTTACTGTTGTTCGTGATTAACCCTGAACAAAATCAGGTCACCCTCCCACAGTAATACCCCTTCAACTCACCTTTCCCCCCCTCCCACACAACCACCGATCAGCCACCCATCCCACTTGCAAAAACGTAATACAAAATAAGAAATATATTTGTCACGAATAAAACTTGAGTTATGCACAAGAACGAACAAAGACACTCGAATTTATTGGCTAAAAATATCATAAAGGCCTTGAGAATTGTGCTGGTGGTGCTGTGGGGGGGTGGGGGTGGAGAAGAGGGGTGGTGAGGAGTGTTGGTGTGAGTGGGAGTCTCGTGTTGGTGTGGGGGGAGTGTTGGTGTTGGTGTGGGGGGAGTGTTGGTGTTGGTGTGGGGGGAGTGTTGGTGTTGGTGTGGGGGGAGTGCTCGTGTTGGTTATACTCTTATTTTACATTCTATTTTACATTCATACATTCCTATTTTGCGTTCAGGTGTGTGAATATGTTCATCCTACTCTCACAAACAAGGGTAAATATTATGTGTTGCTACGTTCGTTCTAAGATACACACACACACACATTCTGTATGAATGTATATATGTGTGTGTGTAACTCAGAATGGACAGTAATAATACTCTACGATGTTACATCTATTCAGGTAGATGTATCAACATAGACTATTTTTCTAAGTACTTTATATTAACGTGTTGTGTTTTTGGTAACCTTTTTATGGTTTTATAACGAGAGAGAGAGAGAGAGAGAGAGAGAGAGAGAGAGAGAGAGAGAGAGAGAGAGAGAGAGAGAGAGAGAGAGAGAGAAAGGTGAAGTAAGGTGTCGCCTGGGCCAAGAGGCTAACAGCAGTTTCCTAACTTCTGGTGTTCGCATTATGGCTGGTATAGTATAATGGTCTTGCAGTTAGTAGAATGTAATTCAG